CCCCCATCATGCCCCGCGGAGGCCGCACCGCCTTCCGGCCGCCTCTGCCCCTTAGCACCCTGGGAAATGCAGTGCGCGGCGGCCAGCGCTGAGCCCTTGGGCGCCGGGGGTGAGCGCGGGGGTCGCGGCGACCGAAGCGGGTCCGCGGGCTCTCCTCCTCCCGGCGTCGCCCGCCACGCCTCCTTCCCTTGTTAGTCTCCTAAACAGTGTTTTCCTATTATTAAAAACCAGCATTAACTGAGCTCAAGGATAAACGTAGGGAGAGGATAAGTGCTATTGAGCGGCTTGGGGATTGACAAAGGAATGATATAATTTCATTTATTTTTTGTTTTTGTTTTTGCCATAGGGCAGCTGCGCTTGCGGGAGACAGAAGTAAAGTGAAAAATTACCCCTCAGGATGGGATGGCCACCTGCAATCTTTTCAGCATTCTCTCTGGACTTGGGGCACATAGGCACACGTGCCTGGTATGTTTTTCAGACCTCTGGTTGGGATTGCCAAGGGTGGAAGACATGTGGGGCTTAGCTCCTTTAATCTCCAAGTCACCTGCTGGCTCTGTACTTTCAGTTTTAACGGGACTAGCTTCAAGATTGAGACTACAGTATAGGGTGGGGAGTGTGGAGGAAGAATGGGAAGGGAAGCTACTGGGTCGTGGGAAAAGTCATGATGAACTTAAATATACAAAAATGTTCATTGACTTTTCCAAAGATGATTCAGTATTATAGTAATCCAGACTCAAGATGATGGTGGCTTGGAGGGTGCATCAAAGCAAAATGGTCGTAGCTGTGCAGGTGAAAAGAAGCAATTAGAGGGACCAGCAGTTAGCGTAATGGCTATGTCCCTGGACTCCCACATAGTCGACTGCGGTTCGAGTCCCGGATCCGGTGGCTTAAAACTCACGCCGGGCTCATGTGCGTGTGTGCCCAAGATCCTGAGAGGAGAATGGAGGAGAAGGGATTGAGGCGTGGCCATCCTCCCTGGGGGGTGATTTCTCGCTTTCTGTCTCTCTCTGTCTGTCTGGTGAGCGCACGTGCCCTATAGCAAAAACCTCTCCAAAAAAAGAAAAAAGAAAAAGAAAAAGAAAAAAACAATTAGATTTGGGGTAAGAAAGAACAGTTTTAATCGAAAAAGTATGAAAAGAGAGGGCCAGCAGGTGGTGTGGCTATTGAGGGTGCTGGATTCCTACATAGTCAACTGCGATTGGAGTCCCAGGCTGTCCCGACCCAGGGGACAGTCAAACAGGTTTCCTGGGGGAAGGAGTGAGAGACACGACGAACTACGCAGCATTACAACACAGAGACAACGCAGTATCACAATTCTTCAGGGTCTTCAGGGTCACCTGGCGATTGTGGGCCAGGGATCGTGGTTATATACATGTTGGTGGGCAGTGATTGGTTGAATGAAGGATTGTAAAAGGTGGGTTATGATTGGTTACTTTTGTGAACCAATCATGAGGTGCCGGATATGCAAATCTGAGGGATTCTAAGCTCACCAATTTGCTATGGGAAGTGGCCAATCAGAGTATGGTTTTGAAGGTGAGGTTTTGAAGGGGAGCCAATCATGGCCTTTGGCATTGTGTAATTGTTTGCTCTCTGAGAAACCGGCAATATTTGCTGGTGCACAGCCTCCCACACCGGACCTGGTGGCTTGCTTTCTCACTTTCCCTTTCTCGCTCTCTCAATCTGGTCAAATTAAAAAATAATAATAGGGGCCAGCAGATGGTGTGGTGGTTAAGGGAACTGGGCTCCCATGTGGCCAATCATGGTTCAAGTCCTGGACCTGGTGGCTTGCTTTCTCATTTTCCCCTTCTCTCTCTCTCTCTCTCACTCTGTCCCTCACTGGTCAAATTAAAATAAATAAATAAATACAGTTAAATAATTCTTTAAAAAAATACTAACAAATAAAGTTAATCAGCTAGCAGTTTTTAGAATATATCCAGAGTCCCATCATTATAATTTACCATCAGCACACTTTGCACTCTGGCATAAGTCACCTATTATCTCTCTCCTTGTTTTTTTTCTTTTTTGGAGAGGTTTTTGCTGTAGAGCGCTTGCCAGAAAGACAGAGAGAGACAGAGGGACAGAAAGCAAGAAATCACTCCCCCCCGGGGGGGGGGGATGACCACACTGCAATCTCTTCTTCTCCATTCTCCTCTCAGGATTTTGGGCACGCGCACACACACACACACACACACACACACCCAGCATGAGTTTAAGCCACTGGGTCTGGGACTTGAACCACAGTCGACTACGTGGGAGTCCAGCAACATAGCCATTATGCCAACTGCTGGTCCCTCTCCTTGATTATTACAACAGCCCCCTGACTCAAAAGATCTGAAGTCAAGGGACAATTTTGCCATTAAAGGAACATTGGCAAAGTTTGGAGATACTGTTTGATATTACAACCCAGATGAGGGTGCCTCTGGTATCTAGTGGTTAGAGGCCAGGGATGCTGCTTAACATCCTACACTATTTATGACAGACCCCACAACAGAGAATTATCTCACCCGAAATGTCAGTGTTGATGAGACTGAGAAACCTGTGTTTCTGCTTCTGCCTTTAGCCTTTTCCACGGCAAAGCTGTTATCTTCTATTTTTAAAAAATTTGTAGAGAGATTTTTGCTATAAGGCAAGTGTGCTCACCAGACAGAGAGAGAGAAAGTAAGAAATTGCCCCTCAGCCTTCTAGGGAAGATGGCCACGCTGCAATCGCTTCGCTTCCATTCTCCTCTCAAAATTTTGGGCACCCACACATGCCCAACATGAGTTTCAAGCTGTCATGTTCAGGACTCGAACCATGGTTCGAGTTATGTGGGAGTCCAGTGCCTTAATCACTATACCACTTACTGGCCCAAAATCTGTTCTCAAAATAGCAGCCAAACTGTCCATGTCAACGTTTAAATTTAAATGTTGCTCCTTGGCCAAACTCAGATCGTACACTGGTCTACCCTTTATTACTCTCTGACTTCATTTCCAGCTGCCGTCCCTTTCTTTACTCAACTTCAGTTACATTCCTTTCTGCTTTCTGAATTTCTCTAGCTCATTCCACCTTAGGGCTCTTGCACATGCTGTTTTCTTTGCCTAGAATGCTCTTTTCCCAGATAGCCGAATGGTTTCCTTCTTTATCTCTGTTCTATAATCCTGGGTAGCTAATGAGCCACCCAAATCCCTCTTGCAGGATTAATTGATTTATTATCCAAGCAGCAGAGGAAATTGTTGGCTGAGCCTCAGCTATCGGGCCTCTCCTGGAGTTATCCCTAGTGGAAGAGTTTCACCACCTAAGGTCATTCCTCTTTTCCTGGACAACCAGCATTCAGTGCCTGTAATGTAGAAGGCCTTGTTCCTTCACTCCAACTTGGGACAATTCCAAAGGGTCATTCCAGTTCACAGTGCCCAAAGGGGAGTTTGCTGAGCTCTGTTGTATGGTACCTCACTCAACTACTTCCTTGCCCAGTTCTGCTTCTTTTCCTCTCCCAACAGGTGTGAGAGCTCTCCTTGTTCATTTCAGCCTCAGACTCAAGACTCTGCCTTCCTGGGAGCACAACCTATAACACATGTTTTGGATTTTCACTTATTGCCACCTCTTCAGAAAGTCCTTCCTTGGTTATCTTCACTAGGATTGAAACCTTCATCCGACATACTCAGTATTACTTTCCTGTTTTACTTTTCTCTTTACAATGTGTTACCATGTAGCATTATCTTTATTTTATTTATTTTTCCTGTCTATTGTCTTTCTCTCTCCACCAGCATGTTCTGAATCATGAAGATGGGGATTCATGTGTGATATGCTTACTGGTGAATTTTTAGCATCTGGAATAGGTGTGGTAGATATTCCTGAATACAGGACTGTTGAGTGAATGTTGCATAAAAAAGTGAGTGGGTCCCAGGGAACGTAGTTGATCAGCAGGGTGCTGGAGGGGGATGGAGATAGAAGAAGCTGATAAAAGGTGTAGGCATGCTTGCTAATAAGGGGGTACCTAGGGTTGCCCATGAAGGAATAACTTGAAATGCAGGAGATGAAAGAGGAAATTGGGCCAGATAGATTTAGCAGAGTTTAGGAGAGGAGAAAGAAGAAGAAGAAGAGATGGGGTCGGCAGGTGGAACAGTTGTAAAACAATGCTCTGTGATGCTGGACCCACATGGGAACAACGCAGGTTTGCACCCCAGGCCTCCCCGTACACACAATAAATGTGTGTACACTCATGATCTGGCTGGCTGGGGCTGAAGATAGATTAGATGTAAAGATCCTGTTGGGGGTGTTTCCCCCCCCCCTCTAATGGAATAAGTCAATATACATAAAAGGAGAGGAGGAGGAGGAGATAGCTATAGTGAGATTCTGGACTTCAGGAACATGGAAATGAGGATAATTTTTAGACTCTGTACTGTATGTTGTATGATGTAATCTTTCATAGCTGCCTTCCTTATTAAAACCTTCAGCAAAACATCTATAGTGATAGAGCACACCCTGGTAGTGGTTAGGCTTAAAGGCTTTAGAGTAGATGGCTTAGGTTCCAAGCTCAGCACTGGCATTTACCACGTGACCTTGGGTAATTTCCACATGCCTTGGTTTGCTCATCTGTAAAATGAAGATAATACTGGGACCAGCAGTTGGCGTAATGGCTATGTTGCTGGACTCCCATGTAGCCGACCATGGTTCAAGTCCCGGACCCAGTGGCTTGAACTCATGTCGGCCGTGTGTGCGTGCGTGCCCAAGATCCTGAGAGAATGAAGGAGAAGGGATTGCGGTGTGGCCATTCCCCCTGGGGGGGTGATTTCTCGCTTTCTGTCTCTGTGTCTTTCTCTGTCTTTCTGGTGAGCACGCATGCCCTATAGCCACTAAAAAAAACCCCTCCAAAAAAAAAAAAAAAAGGAAAAACATGAAGATAATACTAATATCTACCTGATTATCTTCAGGAATGTCTGAGATAATATATCAGATGTGCTTAACAGAGTTCTTGGCATGCAATAACAGACCCATGCTTGTTAGCCATTATTTCTATTATCATGAAGTAGTTTAATAGAAAAAAAGATCTATAGGCATTGACAAGAAAGCATCTTTACACTGCTGCAACACTGTTAAATGAAGATGCATGTCACAAACAACGCAGATGGCAGGATTCCATTTATATAATCAAAATAAAACAAAAGGCTGTCTTTCTGTATGTGCATACCTGTATGTAAATGCTATACTCTGCTATGATGGGTCTCAAAGTGGGAATGAGAAAGTCCAATTTAATTTGGATTATGCCTCTTTTGTAGCTGAGGAAACTAAGACTTAAGAAATTTAAAAATAAGTAACTTGCCCATTGTCATACTTCATAGGGACTAAGTTCATGTCTGCTTCAGTCCATAGTCCAAGATTAGACAGGAAAATGCAAAGGAAAGGAGTGAGTGGGGTCAGATGCTGGAGGAGAGGAAAACTGGCTGAGTCCTGCAGGCATCTCTGGAAGAAGAGCAGCAAGCAAGGCATAGCTGGGACCCAAGAGAAGGGGCAGAGTGTTCAATGGCTTGTAGAAGGTCACTTGGGAGCTGCTGCAATGGGCTGGGTGAACAATGAGCTGTGAGCCTGAATGGCCAGAGAAAGATGGGGCAGTGGTGACAAGTTGAGCCCAGAGACCAAGAAAAGCCACGCAGGGCAGGGAAGACAAGGATGATGCTCTGCTTTGGTGAGGGTGCAGGCAGGTGGTGAGGGACCAAGTGAATGGAAACACAGGGAAGAGAGAGGTTGGAGGCATGGGGTGAAAGAAAGGTAGTGCAAGTGAGTTTGGTTTTGAACACACTGAGTTTAATGTAACAAGAGATATTCAGGCAGCTGCAAATGAAAGTGTGGGACGAGAGACTGGAATTGGAAGTCACTAATAATAAAAATATAGGTCACATTTACTGAATGCTTACTATACATCAGGATCTGAGCACTTCACAAGTACAGTGTATTAACTTATTTAACATTTCTAACTACACTCCAGAGTAGCCCTATTTTACACTCCATTTTATAGTTGAAGAAACTGAACTACTATTTATTGAGTGTTTACCATGAGCCAAGTAGTAGGATTTTTTAAAGAATAATTTCAATTACTCTCTACAGCTACCCTATTCAGTAGAGGTTGTTACTTATTTATTCATTTGGGGATAAGCAGATGACATAATGGTTATGTTGCTGGACTCCCACATAGTCAACCACAGTTTGAGTCCCGGACTGGGTGGCTTAAAACTCACACTGGGCATGTGTGCGTGGATGCCCCAGATCCTGAGAGGTGACAGAGAAGAGACTGTGGCATGGTCACACACCCCCCCTCCCCAAGGGATGATTTCTTGCTTTCTGTCTCTGTCTCTCTGGTGAGTGCATGTGTCTTATAGCAAAAATCTCTCTCGAAAAAATTAAAATTTGTTTATCTGTTTGCTTGCTATGGGCACGTGTACTCACTAGAGAGAGACAGAGAGGGTGCGCGTGAGAGAGAAGATAAGGGAGTACACCCTGGGAAGGGATGACCATACTGCAGTTCCTTCTCCTCCACTCTCCTCTTGGGTTTTGGGCATGAATGTACATGCTCCTGGTGTGTTTTTCAAGGTGCCTGGTCCAGGTCTCAAACCATGTAGTTTGTCATATGGGATCCAGCAGTCTTAACCACCAGGCCACCTGGCTGGCCTAGGGGCTATCATTATCTTTGTTATAACGATGCACAAACTTAGGTCCCAAGAAGTTTAAAAAACTGTGTCCATGGCCACACACAGTGACATCAGGCTGAATACTGGGAGTTGGGGTCAGATAAAGGTGTTGCAAGTAAAACATGCCTCTCCCGAGGCTGACCCTAGGGTAAGGTCGAGGATTTGAGCCTGGAGACCTCCCTGAGTTTGCCAGCCATCCGTGTGCTCATAATCTGACTGAAGCTAGGAGTGACTTGTGGTATCAAGACCCTGTTGGGATTTAAATAAATAATAACAAAATTTTAAAAAGAAAAGAAAATAACATATAATGATTAAAAAAAAAAAAAAAAAACAAGACCTTGTTGAGGGTGCCATCTCTTTTCTGTCTCTATCACTCATGGTAGAAAGAATTCAATTTAAGTGAACAAACTTGAGAATCCAACTCCAGAGCTAGGGGCCTAGCTTCCCTTTTTAAAGGCTCACTTAATGGGCCAGCCAGTGGCATGGTAGTTAAAGAAGCTGGATTCTATACGGCCAACTGCTTATCTTGAATCCCAGACTTGGGGCAGCTTGAAAAACACATTGCGTGTGCATACAGTGTCCAGAATTTTGAGAGGACACTGGAGGGGAAGGGATTGTAGTGTGGCCTTTTCACCTTCCCTGTCTCTCTCTTTGTCTGTCTCTGGCAACCACATGTACCCTACAGCAAAATTTTTTAGAGAGATTTCTGCCATAGAGTGCAAGCACTCGCCGGAGAGACAGAGAGACAGAAAGTAAGAAGTCATCACCCTGCGGGGTATGGCCATCCCTCAATACCTTTCCCTCCATTCTCTTCTTGGGATTTTTGGGCACACACACAAATGAGTCACGCTTGAGTTTCTTTTTTTTTTTTTTTTCTTTTTAGAGATTTTTGTTACAGGGCATGTGCACTTGCTGGAGAGACAGAGAGAGACAAGGACAGAAAATAAGAAATCACCCCAGGTGGATGACCACACTGTAACCCCTTCCCCTCCACTGTCCTCTTGGGATTTGGGACATGCATGCACACACACCCAGCCTGAGTTTTAAGCTGCTGGGTCTGGGGCTCAAACTGCGGTCGACTATGTGGGATTCCAGCAATGTAATTCATTACTCCATCTGCTGGTTCCCCAAAGATGAGTTTCAAGTCACCATGTCTGGGACTTGAACTGTAGTTAGCCAGTTAGTTAGTGGGAATCCAGTGCCTTAATCACTGTAGTTAGTGGGAATCCAGTGCCTTAATCACTACTCCACCTGCTGGCCCCCTCATAGCAAATTAAAAAAAAAATAAAAAGAATAAAGGTTCACTTAAGAGCAGGAGGTGACAGGAAAACAGGAGGGATCTATAAGAGGGTGTGCTCCGCAGTGTTGACTGCTACAGTCAGTTAAGGAAGATGAAGCCTGGAACTTGACCCTTGGGCTTGCCAATTAGGATGTGTTTGAGAACGCTTGGTTGCGTAGTTTCAGAGGAGTGGCAGGTTGCAGGGATCAGAGAGTGAGGAGACAGGCAACCCAGAGTACCTGCAGTCTCCCTCTTACCTCATGTTATGGGCACCTGGTGGAAGGGACAGCGTTCCTTTGCACCTTCCGGCTCTCCCTAGTGATGGGCAGCTCTGCTCAGACTGAACTTCTCCACCCTCTGCTGAGGTTCTGTTGCCCTGGGTCATCAGAAGTAGCATCCCACACAGCCTTCAGGACCAAATAGCCAGAGTAATCCTGCCTGGAGCTAGAAATGGAGCTGTATAAATCATGTTATTATTTTTTTTCTTTTTTTTTTCAGGGCTCCTAACCAACAATTGTTTATAGCTTTCATCACACAGTAAAAGCATTTTAAGTGTTGGTGATATACCAGGTTGAAGATGGGCTTATCTTTCATGGGTGCTTCTTAATTAGAATTTAAAACTTTTAAACCCCACTCAAGCATATTCAAGCTTGCTTTCTCTAGCATCTGATCTAGAAAAGATCAAAACAACTACTTGCCCAGGGCAGCACTAATTGGCCATGGCATCCGGTGGTTTTATTGCTCTGTAATAAGGTTACTTAAGCTGCTTCTAGAGTTCTTTAATCACTATGCACATGGATTCCCATCTGCCTTTTACCTTATTCCATCACCAATGGTTGCCTCAAGATTTTGGAACATGTAGAGGAAATGCACATTCGGGTCTCAACAGGATTTCTGGGAGCTGGAAAGCAACCACTGATACTGTTTACCTCTGGGGACATGTTAGCGGGCCGCCATCTGCCTAGACAAAGGTGGCTTAGACAACCTTTCCTTTTGGTTGGAAGGCAGCTTTACTAGGGGCTTCTGAGGTCTTTGCCTAGGACACTGGTCCTCTGTTATTTTATTGCTACTACAGAAAATACCCCATTTTGGCCCATAAGATCTCTTGCATTACACTGTAGTACTACCAACAGCAGTCAGACCAAGAGGCAGATGCAATCCTAGGTTCAGGTTTACCTGTTGGGAGGAACCCGGTTAAATCGCCATCTAGTTAAAGAGTGGTAAAGCGAGGAAACTAAAGGAAACACAAGTTAGGACTTCGACAAGGTCAGGTGTCTGGTTCAGGGGAGATTTCACTTACCCAGGCTCTCCCAGAGCATACTGATCCCCATGGTTGGATATGTACTGTGGGACAGTCTCAGGGTATTTTACTTCCGTGGGCATAAAGTCTCATGTCCACCGGGGACAAGTCAGAAGAGGCCAGAATGCTATTTTAAAGGCAGAATTTCGGCCACCAGTGAAGAAACTTTCTGCCGGGGAGGCCAAATAATGTGATGAACAGTCCTACCCTCTTCCCAGCTCGAGGTAATTTGTGCATTTGGGTTGGGCGGTGGTGGCTTTAGGAAGGGACGGTAGTTTCCTTACAGCCAGCCGTTTTCCCGAATGCAAAAATACCTTTAAAGTCTCTTTAACGGCAGTCCCCAAATACAGTCGCGCTTGGACCTCGACAAACGGGGTGCATCTCGCGCTTGGACCTCGACAAAGGCGGTGTACCTGACGGGGACTGGAGGGCGCAGGCTGCGAGGCGAGGCTCCGCCCTCCCGAGAAGCCCGGAAAAAGCCGCCGCGGTTTCACGCCCCGGCCGTCTCAACCCACCACCCCCGATCGGGGCCTGGAGCAGTGGAGAGGGCGGCCTCCTGCCGCCTAGAGGCGCCAGCCCGCACGTCCACTCTACCGGCGCCACGTCTCTATGTCGGTCTCAACGGCCGTCCCGGGCGCGGAGCGAGATGAGTGCGGGCGCAGGCGGCGGCGATGGCGGCGGCGCTGTGGCCGCGGCGCGGTCTCGAGAGGGCAGTCTGGATGAGGATGGCTTCGTCCCGTCGGCGCTGGGGACCCGAGAACAGTGAGTGTGGCGCAGGGCAGGGGACGGTGAGCGGCGCTGTCCGGCCTGACCCGGGGGAGGGGACCGGGGCGGAGACCCGGAGCTGGGAGAGCCTTGGGGGCGTGGCGGGAAAAGGCTGGACCCGGGAGGTCGAGGTGAATTTGAAAGGATGGAGTCCACCGGGGCCACCTGGGGCTGGATAGTGGGTCTTTCAAAGGATGCGAACCGGAGGGAATCTGAAGCTCTGAAGCTCTTGAGGAGACCTTTTGGGGGTTTTAGCACTTGGCTGAAAGGCAGAGGGGAGGGGCTGAGGCCTGGAGAACTGCCCTGCCAGGGAGCTGAAGACGCTAAGGGGGCAAGGATGGCGATGTGGAAGTTGGCAGGAATGGGAGTGGAAAATGACCTGAAAAGGGAGCTAGGAGATAGTGGGGCATCTTGGGGTAAGGGGGAAAAAAAAATCTTAAAAAAAAAAAAAACTGACCTAAAACGAACACTCCGTAATTATTTAATGAATTGATAAATGGATGAATGAATTACTGTAGGCATGGTTGGAATGAGATAATTTGGAGGGGTAAGAAGGAGCAGAGATTGTACAATGAAGCTGGAAGAGAAGACCAATGATGAGGCGGGATAGTTCTTAAAAAGATTAAGAGAAAATTGAGACAGGGCTAGAAGACAGGAAGAGACAAATAGCATTGGAAAGACTGGTTTAGGACTTTGAAGACTATCTTTGGTAAGTTTCATTGCCAGCTACCACTGTAGTGGTAGAAAATCCCATGTCTGGGTCAGGTGGTGGCGTGGTAGTTAATGCAGCTGGATCATACAAGGCCAACAGCACAATTCCAGTCCTGGACTGGCAGCTTGAAAAACACTCTGGGCTCGTATACTCCAAATCCTGAGAGGAGAAATGGAGGCGACGGAATTGTGCATGGCCATCCTCCATGAGGAACGCTTTCTCACTTTTCCTCTCTCTCTGACTTTCTACAGGGAGCATACTTGCCCTCTGGCAAAAACAACCGAAAACAAAACAAAAAAAAGTAAGAAAATCTGGTGCTTGCATATTTGAGAGCAGATATTTGTAATGACTCTATGCGTGTACAGTCAAATTTTGGACTAGATTCTGGGATTTAGCCTTGGTCAAAGATAGCTTTTTTTATTTTTTATTTTTATTTTTTTTTTTGCTCTAGGGTATGTGTGCTCCCCTGAGAGACAGAGAGAGGGAAAGTGAAAAATCACCCTCGAGGGTGAATAGCTACACCACAATCCCTTCTTCTCCATTCTCTTCTTGGGATCCTGGGCATGCATGTACAAGTGCCCAGTGCGTTTTTCAAGATAATCCAGTCTGGGACTTGAACTACACAGTTGGTCATGTGAGATCCAGCTACCTTAACCACCATGCCACCTGGCTGGCCCATATCTGTATTTTTTAAACCAAAATTTAGGATTTGTTATGCTTCAGATATTGTTCTAAGTGCTTCACATTTACAAAAACTTACTCTGGTCTTTTCCACTATACAAGATAGCAGGTGAAAAAGCTGTAAAACAGGATACTAAGAAGAAGAAAGCTGAAGCTAAGAAGGCTAATGCCAGTGGCAAGGTTAAAAAGGGTGACCCCAAGGCTGAAAAAACCCAAGAAGAGGAAGCCCCATTGCAGCTGAAACCCAGTACTAGCCTGGGGCATCGGCAGAGACTCCCAATCTGTCCTGTATTCCAGGAAGGCCATGTACAAGAGGAAATACTCTGCCACTAAATCCAAGAGTGAAAAGAAAAGGAAGGTTCTTGCCACTGTCACAAAACCAGTTGGTAGGGACAAGAATGGTGGTACCCGGGTGGTTAAACTTTGCAAAATGCCTAGATATTATCCTACTAAAGATGTGCCTCAGAAGCTGTTAAACCATGACAAAAAATCCTTCAATCCGCATGTGAGAAAGCTGTGAGCTAGCATCACTCCCAGGACCTTTTTTTTAAAGAATGATTTTATTTAACTTTACTTACTTATTTTAATTTGGCCAGAGGGACAGAGAGAGAGAGAGAGAGAGAGAGAACGAGTGAGCAAGCGGAAGTGAGAAAACAAGCCGCTAGGTCTGGGACTCAAACCCGGTTGGCCATGTGGGAGTCTAACGCCCTTAACTACCATGCCATCTGCTGGCTCACTCCTGGGACCATTTTGATCATCCTCACTGGACATGTCACAGAGGCAAGAGTAGTTTTCCTGAAGCATCCGAAGAGTGGCTTGCTACTTATGACTGGATTTCTGTTTGCTCAATCTAGTTCCACTGCGTAGAACATACCAGGAATTTGTCACTGCCGCCTCCACGAAAATTGATGTTAGCAAATTAAAAATCCCAAAACACCATACTGATGCTAACTTCAAGAAAAAGAAGCTGCAAAAGCTCTGGCACCAGGAAGGCAAGATCTTTGACACAGACGAGGAGAAATAAGAGATTACAGAGCAGCTCAAGATTGAACAGAAAGCTGTGGACTTGTAAATTTTACCAAAAATTAAAGCTGTTCTTTAGCTCCAGGGTGACCTGCGATCGCTGTTTGCCCTCACAAATGGAGTTTATCCTCACAAATTATTGTTCTAAATTTCTTACCAAGAACTGAATTAAATAACTGATCACAAATATAAAACATTTTTAAAAAACTTACTGCTTAATCTTTTCTTTCATTCTTTTAACCTAAAGATGGTAAGAGATTGAACTGTGCATGCTTATTGATAATACTTAATAACGTTTTAAACTTCTGTCTTAAATAGCTCTGTAATGTGTTAGGAACATACACTCAGTTCATAAGATAGTTTAATTCAAGAATCTCACTTTGCATTTCATTGTTTACATAGTTGGGATGCTGTCTATGAGAGGGAACTACAAACTTTCCAAGAGTATGGGGATACAGGAGAAATCTGGTGAGTTATGAAAAATAAATTATGATTCAGAAGATTGTATGTTTATATGTATGTTTATATTATAAATGCACATACCAAAGAAAGCCTAAAAATCTTGAGAACCTCAGATTGAGTCTGGCTTCAGTGGATAGATTAGTCTCTCTCTTGTCTTGCAGTGACTTAAATTTGATTAGAGTAATAGGAAATAACTTTCATCCTAAAGTTGTCCTTTTTCTTTTTTGTTTTAGCTTGATAAAGGGTGCTTGTGCTTGACAGAGAAAGAGAGAGAGAGAAAAAGAAGGAGAAAGTGAGAAGTCATTCCCCAGGGGAGGGGGGGATGGCCATGCTGCAATCTCTTCTCTTGGGATTTTGGGCACACATGTACATGTTCCCAGTGTGATTTTCAAGTCACCAGGTCAGGGACTCAACCTTGGCTTTGGATATGTGGGATCCTACTGCCTTAACCTCAGTGCCACCTGGTGGCCCGATATAGTTGTCCTTTTTCAATAAGCAATAATATTTTGAACCTCTAAGATATACAAATGTTAATTCTGTTGTAGAGAAACATTAATTAGTAACCTTGTCCATTTATTCTATCTTTGGAGATGTTTTCTTCTAAATAACAAGAGAGATGAGACTTAAGCAGTCACAGATACTGCTTTTCATTTTCAAAGGAGACTAAATTGGACATATGGTATAAAGAGCTTATGAAATATAGTTGTAACTTTTGCTCTATATTCTTCTGTATTTGACGAATTGCCTTTCTGTTTCTAACAGGTTTGGAGAAGAGAGTATGAATCGGTTAATAAGGTGGTTACAAAAAAAGAAGATTCCATTGGATGCTTCAGTGCTTGATATTGGAACTGGAAATGGTGTTTTCCTGGTTGAACTTGTTGGTACTTTTAATATTCATGTATTAGACCCTAACTACCTAAACATGAAATAGTCAAGTTAGACCATTTTGAAAAATCACATGGTACTAAAGGGAGACTATGTGGATTATAGGAAAGCACTAGATGAGAAGCCAGAGGATCTTAGTCCTAGTCAGCAAACCACTTACTTTTTCTGGGTTTCATTTCTTTCCAAAGGGTTTTGACTAGGTGATCTCTGTTGGTTCTAGCTCAAAACTCTGAAAATCTATTTGTATTAAAGGAAGATGACCTTTTACAGTTCTAGTGAACATACCTTTGTTTAGGTGAGCATATGGTTCGAAAAGAGCATTTGTCTATAGAACTAAGTTTTGGTATAGTTCTGTTACTAGCTAAATTATCACTCTTGTGTGTTTGTAGTGTGTTGCTGTGCTGTGTGCTTTGGGGGAAATATTAAGATTTAGGCTTAATCCTAGGTAGTTTTACAATCTAATTTGTAAGGGTGTATATGTGAAACTGAAACTTGTTGAATGACTGCCATGTGCCAACCCTCATGCTAGGCACTGACAACATGAAAATTTAGAGCTTGTGCTTAAATTGTTCACAGTATAATAGAGGATGGACTGATGTATAGATAGACAGTTATGTTTGCCAGAGAGAGACAGAGGGAAAGCACTCCTTGGGGAGGATGGCTATGCTGCAGTCCCTACCTGTTCTCCTGTTGGGATTTTGGGTACGTGGGCACACATGCCTGGCATGTTTCATAAGCCATTGGGTCTAGGATTCAAACTGCACAGTTGGCTGTGTGGGATCCAGCTGCCTTAACTACCATGTCACTGGCTGGCCCGAGCCTGAAGATTTCTTAATCTGGTGTTTTAAAATATGAATTCAGCCTTTTTAATAGTTATAGTACTATGCAGGTTATCTCATTTGAGTGAATTTGCACAGTTTGTGGTTTTTGAAGAATTGGTCCAGTTTTAATTTATATGCATGGAGTTTTGTGCACAATTTTCTTTTACTGTTCTTTTTTTTTTTTTTTTGGAGAGGTTTTTGCTATAGGGTGCATGCGCTTGCCAGAGAGACAGAAAGTGAAAAATCACCCCCCAGGGGGGATGGCCACACTGCAATCCCTTCTCCTCCATCCTGCTCTTGGGATCTTGGGTATCCTGCACGCGAGCCTGGCGTGAATTTAAGCTACTGGGTTTGGGACTTGAAATGTGGTCGACTACATGGGAGTCCAGCAATGTAGCCATTACTCCATCTGCTGGTCCCTACTATTCTTTAATGTTGGGATGTATAGTAATAATCCTGTTTTTCATTCCTAATATTAGTCATTTGTATCTTTTTTCCTTCGAGAATCATGCTAGAGATTTGTTATGCTCTATCTTTCATAAGACCCAGCTTTTATTTTATGGATTTTATTTTTGTTTTCAATTTCATGGAACTATTTTATTTTCATTTCCCCCCTCTTTCTGATTTTAATTAGTTTTGATTCCTCCTTTAGCTTATTAAAAGTAGAAACTTTAATTATTATTTTTTAAAGCTCACATTTTATTTATTCTTAATTTATTATTATTTTTTTTTAGGTTTTTGCCATAGGACACATACCCTCACCAGAGAGACAGAGAGGGAGAAAGTGAGAAATCACTCCCCGTGGGGGTGGTCATGCTTCAGTTCCTTCTCTTCAATTCTCCTCTTGGAATTTTGGGCACGCCCTTACACACATGCCTGGCATGTTTTTCATGCCACTGGCTCTAGGACTTAAAATGGAAAGTTGACCATGTGAGATCCAGCCACCTTAACCACCATGCTACTGGTTGACCCAGTCAATGAGATTTTAAAATTTATGTGTATCTCCTTGTAATGATTTCTTTGTATATGTTTAAGAAAGACTTGAAAATTTATTTCTTTCATGAGCAAGAGAGAGAGACCTCCAGCAGGGTCTTGCTATGCCACTATCCCTCCCTTACCCTTCCAGCCAGCCAGGATCATGGGCATGATCATGGGTTTTTCTGGCATGTTCACGTTGACCTGGGAACCAAACCCAAGTATTTCCATATATCTCCAGTATTGCACAGTGGAACCTTACCACCTGTGCCACCACTGCTGGGCCTCTTTGTATATAAACAATTTTAGTAACTGTAATAAAGATTTGACTAGGGCCAGCAGGGTGACATGGAGGTTAAGGTGCTCAATCCCACATGTCTGCTCAATCCCACATGTCTGACTGCATCGTTTGAGTCTTGGACCTGATGGCTTGAAAATCACTCAGGGAACGTGTGCATGTGTGCCCAAAATTCTGAGAGGAGAATGGAGAAGAGGGATTATGGCATGACTATCCCCTTGCGAGGTGATTTCTTATTTTCTCTTCTTTCTCTCTCTCTGGCAAGCGTAAGTACCCTATAGCAAAAACTGATCACAACAGCAGGGCCAGCAGGTAGCATATGACTCCTACAGGTTGGCTGTGGTTCGAGTTCTGAACCTCGTGGCTTGCTTTCTCACTGCCCCCCCCCGCCGCCCCACCCCGTCTCTCTCTAGTGAGCATGTGTGCCCTGTAGCAAATTTAAAAATAATACTGATAAATAAAATAAATCTTAAAAAAATAATCAAAATATAAGGGTTCAACTATATGTCTTTGCATGGCTTTTAAAAAATATTTTATTGAACTTTATTTTATTTATTTATTTATTTTAATTTTGCCAGAGAGGGACATAGTGAGAGAGAGAGAGAGGGAAAGTGAGAAAGCAAGCCACCAGGTCCAGGACTTGAACCACAGTCAGCCATGTGGGAGTCCAGCGTCCTCAACCACCTTGCCACCTGCCGGCCCCCTTTGCATGGTTTTCTTAATAGTTGTATGGATTACAATATTAAACTTTTCATAATCTGCTTAGAATCAGTATTTTACCACATCAAGTGAAATACTAGAACCCTACCACATGAGTTCTTTATCTTTCTCGTTTTATATTGTAGTTGTATTAAATATTACCTTTATGTACATTGAAAGTTCCTTCAAATAATTTCATGATTTTTCTTTTCAAAAATTAAACACTTTTTAAAGAACTCAATAAGGCGAATCCCATAGTGCAGTGGTTAAGTGCTACCTTTAGTATGTTGGATCCCACATGGCTGACTGTTATTTGATTCCTGGCCCAGATGGCTTGAAAAATGTGTAGGAAGCCTATGTGTGTGTTCCCAAAGTCCTGATAGGATGGAAAAATGGAGGAAAAATATTGTGGTGTGACCACACCCCACTGGGTGGTTCTGTCTTTCTGGTGAGCACAGGTGCCCATTGGCAGTTAAAAAAAGTATTGGGACCAGCAGATGGTGTAATGGTGGGACCAGCAGTTAGCGTAATGGCTATGTCACTGGACTCCCATGTAATCGACCGCAGTTTGAGTCCCGGACCCGGTGGCTTAAAACTCATGCCGGGCGCGTGTGCATGTGTGCCCAAGATCCCAAGAGGAGAATGGAGGAGAAGGGATTGTGGCGTGGCCATCCCCCCTGGGAGGTGATTTCTTGCTTTCTGTCTCTCTGTCTCTCTCTGTCTGTCTGGCAAGCGTACGCGCCCTATGGCAAAAACCTCTCCAAAAAAAAACCCAAACAAACAAACAAAAAACAAAAAAAACCCAGATGGTGTAATGGTTATGTTGCTGGAATCCCACATGGCCGACCGTGATTTGTGTCCTGGACCCATTGGATTGAAATTCACACTAAGTACATGTGTGTGCATGCCCCAAGTTCTGAGAGGAGAATAGAGGAAAAGGGATTGCGATGTGGTCATCCCTGCCCCGCCCCACCTCTGTCCCCACTCCCGCATGGTGATTTCTTACTTTCTGTCTCTCCAGTGAGCACATGTGCCCTATAGCAAAAATCTCTTTAAAACATTTCAAATAAATACAAAAAATAAAAAAGAAGTATTGGTTGTCAGGAAAGTAGACTCATTTTTGCATAGGAAAACACATGAATTATTTTAGAGAGGATTTTTCTGGCAAGAATATTTTTCCCCTTCATTTACATTCCTGAGAGATGTTTGTGCTGAATATAGAATTCTCAACAGTTTTCTTTCAGTATTGAGAAATGTTACATTACTTCTTTCTTAGGTCCATGGTTTCTATTGAGATACATGCAGTCATTTGAATTGGTGTTTTTCGATAAATAATGCATCATTTTCCTTTTTATTATTGTTTTTTTTTACATTATTTGCCGTAGGGCATATAGGCTTGCCAAAGAGAGACAAAGAGGCAATGAGAAAGGGAAAGTGAGGATGGCCATGCTGCAATCCCTTCTCTTCTCAGGATTTTGGGCATTTACTCACATGCCTGGCCTATTTTGAAAGCTGCTGGATCTGGAACTTGAACTGTGCAGTTGACAGTGGGGGACCGAGCCACCTTAACCACCATGCTCCTGGCTGGCCCTGCATCATTTTTTTTTTCTAAAAAATTTTTTCCTTGTTGTTTTGAAATAGGGCACATTCACTCTCTGGAGAGAGACAGATGGAAGGAGGGAGAAGTCCTATCATGTCCCCCCATCCCGGGTCCATGCTACAATCTCTTTTCTTCCATTCTCCTCTTGGGATTTTTGGCATGCACACACAGATTCCTGGTGTGCTTTTCAAGCTACCAAGTCTGGGACTTGAACTGTGAAGTTGGCCATATGGGATCCAGCTACCTTAGCCAGTATGCTGCTGGCTGGCCCTGCATCATTTTTCTTGATGTTTCAAACTATTTTCCATCTTATTTTTAGCCATTTGCTTGTATTGGGTTGTTGGAAAAGTCTTTTGACAACCCAATAATATACAATGCTTGAATTTTTTAATGCTTATTCTGTTTGGTGTTCAACGAACTTTTTGAATGCTTAAGTATATGTCTGCCAAATTTGGGATGTTTCTAGCCTTTATTTGTTCAAATTATTATTTTTTTGGAGACGTTTTTGCTATAGGGTGTGTGCGCTTGCCAGAAAGAGCGAGGCAGAGAGACAGAAAGTGAGAAATCACCCCCTGGGGGAGGCCCACACTGCAATCCCTTCTCCTCCATTCTCATCTCAGGATCTTGGGCGCACACACACATGCCTGGTGTGAGTTTAAGCCATTGAGTCCAGGACTCGAACTGCGGTCGACTCCATGGGAGTCCAGGGACATAGTCATTATGCCAGCTGCTAGTCTCTATTTTTTCTGTATCACAGTCTTTCTCTTTTTTGGGGGGGAGTAAGTAAGCGTGAATGTCAAGCCTTTTCATGTTGTTCTCCAAGTCCCTGTCCATTTTTTAAAATAAGTTTTCCCTCTCTCTATCAAATTTGATAATTTCTACTAATTTGTCTTATAATGCATTGACTTTTACCTTTGTCACTTCCATTCTGCTCTTGATTTCACACATTGCAATTGGTTTATATGTCTTTTATAAATTCTCCCTGTACCTTTTCTTTTTTAAAATTTTGCAATTTATTTGTTATAGAAGTCCATTCATTCATTTGTCTGAAATGGTTTTCTATAGTGTGTGTTTTCTAATTACATCTCTGTAGTATCATTTAATATGGTTTTTGTCCCTTATAACATCTGTGGATTGGATATTAGCTATAGAGTAAGGCTCAGCTAACTACAGTATGTGGGTTATATATCTGAGGGGCTCCCCTGTGTTCATAAATAGTTTTTAAATATAGACACAGCTGTTCACTTACATGTTACCTACACTTAAGTGCTGCAGTGATAGGGTTGAATAATTGTAATAGATTATATGGCTAGCAAGGCCTAAAATACTTAATTGTTCCTTTATAGGAAAAGTTTGCTGACTGCTAATCCATCCAGTTAAATTCATTTTCTTGGCAAGTAAACTGAATAGGTGGTAATACATATTTGCACGTGTGGCATGTAATGTTATCTGTTTTCTTTTTTATGTTGTTATTTTTTTTTTTTAATAATTTTTTATTTTAACTTTTTTTATTTTAATTTGTCCAGAGAGGGACAGAGAGAGAGAGAGAAAGTGAGAAAGCAAGCCGCCAGGTCTGGGACTCAAACCGTGGTTGACCATGTGGGAGTCCAGTACCCTTAACCACCATACCACCTGCCGGCCCCATTTTTTTTGTTATGTTAACAGCCACGGATGATTATTGCTTCTATTTAGTAGTTTTTCTTTGACCACCTACATTTCTGATACATATTTTTTCAACATTTTTTATTGGGTATTTTTACTATATAATTCTAGATTGATATTTTTCTCATTGTCTTCTGGTTTCCATTCTTTATGACATTATTAACTGTAAGTCTTATTGTTGGCCCTTTGAAGGTAATCTGTCTCCTTGTACCTTTCATTCTCTGGATACTTTTGAGATTTTTATGTTTTTGATTTTCATCAGGTATGCTATCATGTCTGCAGGTATGGTTTTCTTTGTTTTTATCCTGCTTTAGATTTACAGTGCTTCTTGAATCTTTGTCTTGGAGGATCCTTTATTAGCACTGGAAAATGCTGAACATTTTTTCTTCTGCCTTATTTTCATTTTTTTCTTCTCAGAATGTAAGATTTTACATTCTGTGCCATTTTTTTTAGTTCTTTCCTGTTTTAATTTTCCGTCTTTTTGTCATCTGTCTTTAACAGAGATGTTTTTTTCTGACTTTTCTAAATTTCTTTTTTCTTTTTTTCAGTTTAATCTGCTATCAAGTCCAGTCTTGTATTTCTTAATTTAGTTATTACATTTTTTACTTCTGCTGCTCATTTGGTTCTTTGTTATAGTTTTCAATTCTCTGCCAGATTTCTTTAATTTGTAATTGTCATTTATTTTAATTGTTTTGGAGTCTGTTTCTGATAATTCTTTTATTTGGTTTTCCTATGGGTTCTGTTTCTAATATCAGTTTCCCCCTTTGGTTATTGTTTCCTAGAGTGTTACTGGGTACCAGAAATTGAATATGAAAATGTTAAGATAGTTTAAGGCTCTTGAATGTTCTAATACTCTAAAACATTGATATATGATTTTCCTAGGTTATATGAGATAAATACAGAATTGAGAGAAGAGGGAATTAGTAAGAATCTATTAATGCAATCATCCTGGGTTCTAGGTCTGATTGAGAAGGCATTTAGGAAAATTTGAAGGAAACAAAGATCTTGAAGAATGGGAAGGGAGACAGCTAAAAAGTCAGGAGGCTGGCATCAAAAAAGAGAATATTGGGACCAGCAGTTAGTGTAATGGCTATGTTGCTGGACTCCCATGTAGTTGATCATGTTTGAGTCCTAGACCCAGTGGCTTAAACTCAGGTCAGGCATGTGTGGGTGTGTGCCCAAGATCCTGAGAGGAGAATGGAGGAGAAGGGATGGCGGCATGGCCATCACCCCTCGGGGGTGATTTCTCGCTTTCTGTCTCTCTGTCTGTCTCTTTCTGGCAAGCGCTTGAGCCCTATAGCAAAAACCTCTCAAAAAAAGAGAATATTAAAACTTAAGATTAAAAATAGCAATAATTAAAGAGTAAATTCTCTGTGGAGAATAATTGGTATATGTGTTAATTGAGTTTAGATTATGAATCAGTCATTTGTGGTGCAAAAACATAGGTAATTCTTAATGGGTGGTATAGGGGTCAGTTGATTTTGGAAGGTACTAACCATTTAGTAAATAGTAAAGAGCACCAAGGGAAGTTTAGGCTGTGTTGTACTTTGCAGTCTTTTTTGTTTTTCGTATTTCTTTTGAAAGTATTTTTAGCCTCATTGGTCAAAAAATTTTTAGTATAATTAGGGAGTGGGGTGAAGTCCTGAAGACACCATGCTTTTGTCATAGGCTCCACAGACCCTGTATGGGTTCATTAGTTTAGTAAACAGTGAAAACCTTGATTTTAGTGAACTCTTTGTAACTTCCCAAGGATATCAACACTTGCCTGGCCTCGCTCAGTTTCTTTTTTTTCCATAAAGATCTAAAGGAATATATGAAATACATCAAAAATGAAGAAGCGTTTTACACATATAAGGTGGTTAATAATTACATGGTTGGTAATTGCATGATTTATAATTAAACTGAAGGAAAATTTTAGAAAAATAACTTATTGCATGTGCATTTAATTTAGTCATATAACTTAAGTAAAGTTTATGACAGATTTATGTGTGGGTTGGAGGAGCATATAAGGATCAGAAGTTAATACAACTTTTTTCTGAGGGCTTATGTGTATATTTGATTATTTTGAAGAAAATAAATTTTCTTTTGAAAGAGAAAATATTATAAAAGCAAATGAATTATATAAGTTTAAACTTTTCTTTTGATTTGGATTGTAGAATCAAATTTAAACATTGTGGATTATTGGATATGTCATAGGCAAAACATTGTAACTTTTTAAAACTAACATATAGGAGCTGGCAGGTGGTGTGGTGGTTAAGGTGGCTGGATTCCTGCATGGCTGACCATGGTTTGAATCCTGGACCTGGCGGTTTGCTTTCTCACTTTCCTTTTCTCTGGTCAAGTTCAAAAACATAAAATACAATAATAACAATGAATAAAATTAAATAAAATAGTTTTTTTTTTTTTTAAAAAAAGCCCTAACATATAAAATTATTTGTCTGTCTCTAGGCAAAATTTGGCTTCTCTAATATTACTGGAATTGATTATTCTCCTTCTGCAATTCAGCTTTCTGGAAGTATTATAAAGAAAGAAGGTCTATCTAACATTAAGTTGAAGGTAACTATATTACTATAGTATTTTTTTAATTAAAAAAATTGGTATATATGTAATTGGTATATAATTGTATATATGTATAAAACTGGTATATATGTATAGTTATTTTTAAAAATTTATTCATTCATTTATCTTAATTTGACTAGAAAGAGGAAGAGAGAGAGAAGAGAGATGGACAGTGAGAAAACAAACCACCAGGTCTGGGACTTGAACTATGGTTGTCCATGTGAGAGTGTCCAGTGCCTTGACCACCATGCCATCTGTTGGTCCCCAGTATTTTTATTTTTAATAGTTTCATAGTTTAAATACTTCTTTTTTTTATGATTTATTTATTCAATTATGCATTCATTCATTTCTTTTAATTTGACCAGAGAGAGACACAGAGAGAGAAGGAAAGTGGGAAAGTAAGCTACCAGGTCCGGGACTCGAACTGTGGTCAGCCATGTGGAAGTGTCCAGTGCCTTAACCATTATTCTACCTGCTGGTCCCAATAGTTTAGATATTTCTGAAGTTTATATTTTAAACTTACATAAATTAATGATCGACTATAAATAATCCAAATGTAAACATTTTTAAGTAAATATATTAAAAACTTGGAGGGTACCAGCAGGTGGTGTGGTGGTTAAGGTGTTAGACACTCCCACGTGGCAGACCACAGTTTGAGTCCTGGACCTGGTGGCTTGCTTTCTCACTTTCCCTCTCTCTCTTTTTGTCTCTCTGTGTCTCTCTCTGGTCAAATTAAAATAAGTGAGTGACTAAATAAAACTAAATAAATAATTCTTTGAAAAAACAAAAAACAAAAACTTGGAGCCAGTTCTGGCCAGCAGATGGAATGATGGTTAAAGGTACTGGACTCCTACATGGCTGACCACAGTTTGAATCTCGGACCTGGCGGCTTGCTCTTTCTCACTTTCCCTCTCTTTCCCCCCCCCCCTCACACTCTGTCCCTCTCTGGTCAAATTAAAAAAAAAAAAATTGGGAGCCAGCAGGTGACATGGAATTCAAAGTGCTGGACTCCTACTTGGCTGACCGCATTTCAAGTCTGGACCTGGCAATTTGAAAATCATGCTGGGCAAGTGTGCATGCCCAAGGTCCTGAGAGGAAAATGGAAGAGAAGGGATTGTGGTGTGACCATCACCCTCCTGTGGTGGTAATTTTTCACTTTCTCTCTCTTTGTCTCTCTCTAGTGAGTGTAAGTGCCCCATGGCAAGAAAACAAACAAACAAAAAACCCAACTTAATGTAGCCAGTTTGGGGAAATTATTTTCTCTTCATTGTGTACATTTGTGTTCATACTTCTTCCCCCATATTTGGAATGCCAACAAAGAATATCTAATTATTGATTAACTAGATTAAGTGGTTATAACTGCATAGAATGCTATAATATTAGCAAACATCATTTAGTGGGGCCAGCAGGTTGTATAGTGGTGAAGGCACTTGTGGACTCCCACATGGCCCACTGTGGTGCAAGTCACAGACCTGGAGGCTTAACCAAAATGCCGGGCATGTGTACGGGTGTACCCAAAATTCTGAGAGGAGAATGGAGGAGAAGGGATTGCAGCACAGCAATTTCCCCTGGGTGGGGGAGCTGTGATTTCTTACTTTCTGTGTCTCGGCAGTGAGCTCATATACCCTATAGCAAAAAATCTCAAAAAAAAAAAAAAGTTTATTTTTATATTCTATGATCTGTGAGATGATTATGAGATGATGACTCTTGAACTTATATTTCTAGCCCAGGTCTCTCCTCTGAGCTTTTTAACTATGTAAAAACTGCCTATTCCAAAGTTCTACCTGGATAGCTAATGGTCTCTCAACTTAGTCCAAAATGAAACTCTTGGTTTCCTCTTCAAACCTGCTTTCCTGTCTTTCCCTTCTCTGTTAACAACAGCCACTATTCACCCTGTTTTACCAACCCAAAGCCAAGGAATGATGCTGATTCTTCTCTTTCATGCAAATCCTATATCCAGTTCTAATGTCTTTTTTTCCTTCAAAGTATCAGAAATTTGATAATTCCTTGATATTCCCTTGCCACCTGCCAAGTCCAAGCCACCTTTATTTCTTGCTTGCTTAGACTGCTACAGAGTCCAGAGGCTACTACAGTGTCTTTTTATTTGGCTTTCCTTATTTATACTCTATCCATTTACCAGGCCAGAGGCTGGTTCTCAAAATATTTTTTCTCCAGTAACTGAATTTCTTATTCTTCTTCGTTTATGTTTTTTATAGCATCTTATTTCAAATTATTTGTTTGACTTAATTATTGTTTATTTCTCCTTTTATAAAATACAAAGTATAACCTCATCTAGGGCTTTTATTTTTTCTGTTTTGTTTACTGTTATAGTGGGTGTTGAAAGGTACCTACATGACAGATGGCATGGTGGTTATGGCACTGGACTTCCCCATGATTGACCATGGTTTGAATCCCCAGTCCTGGTAACAAGAATCATGTTGGGTGTGTGTACGTGCATGTATACCCAAAAATGCTGAAAAAGATGGAAAGATGGAGAATGATGCAGTGTGACCATTCCCCATGGGTGTGCTTTGTCATTTTTCTTCTTTCTCTCTCTTTTCCAGTGAGCGCACACACCCTCTGGAAAAACAAAAGTGTTGAATAAGTGAGTGTTTTTATACAGGCATTTAAGATAAGTAAGTGTCTCCCAAGTTAGCTCTTCAGAGTAGTAATCATTAATTTGCTTCAAGTGTGATGAGTATGTTGGTCATGAAGGAGGAGGGAAAAACCCATCCTCAAATATAAATGAATAATATCCACATTTAAAAAGTTATTTACTTATTATTGTTATTTCTTTTAATTTGCTGTAGGGCACCTGCACTCACCAGAGAGGTAGGGGTGTGTGTGTGTGTGTGTGTGTGAGATAGAGTGAGAGAGAGAGAGAGAGAGAGAAAGAGAGAAAGAGACAGAGAAAGCAAGTTGTTAGGTCTGGGACTTGAACTGTGGTTGACCATGTGGGAGTCCATTGCGCCTTAAGCACTATGCCACCTGCTGGCCCAATAGTCACAATTTTTTTTTCTTGAGAGATTTTTGCTGTAGGGCACATATGCTCACAGGAGAAACAAAGAGACAGAAAGCAAGAAATCACCCCTTAGGGGGTCCAGCAGTTAGCGTAATGACTGTCGCTGGACTCCCACGTAGTCGACTGCAGACCTAGTGACTTAAAACTCACGCTGGGCACGTGTGCTTGTGTGCCCAAGATCCCAAGAGGAGAATGGAGGAGAAGGGATTGTGGTGTGGCCATCCCCCCTGGAGGGTGATTTCTCACTTTCTGTCTGTTTCTCTCTGTCTGTCTGGCGAGTGCATGCGCCCTATAGCAAAAACCTCTAAATAAATAAATAAATAAATAAATAAATAAAAATAAAAAAAGAAATCACCCCTGAGGGTAGTGGGGAATGGCCATGCCACAATCCCTTCTCTATTCTCCTCCTGTGATCTTGGGCATGCAACACATGCGCTGGGCATGAGTTTCCGGGACTCAGACTGTGGTGAACTACATGGGAGTCCAGTGATGTAACCATCACACTATCTGCTGTTCCCCAATGGGTTCTTTCATCTGTAATCTTGTACAGATTATCATTTAAATTTTGTAAAGATTGTGTATTGGGGCCGGTAGGTGGCATGGTGGTTAAAGGCACCGGATTTCCACATCGGCTGACCTTGGTTCAAGTCTTGGACCTGGCAGCTTGCTTTCTTGCTTTCCCTTTCTTTCTCTCTGTCTCTCTCTGGTCAAATTAAAAAATAATAATAATAAATGGAATTAAATAAACATTTAAGAAAGAATGTTAATCATTCTTACATAGACACTGATTTTTTTCATATAGGTAGAAGACTTTTTGAATCTTTCCACAGAGTTTTCTGGATTTCAGATTTGTATTGACAAAGGGACTTTTGATGCCATAAGCCTTAATCCTGACAATGCAATTGAGAAGAGGAAACAATATGTAAAATCTCTCTCCAAGGTGTTGAAAGTTAAAGGCTTTTTTCTAATAACCTCATGTAATTGGACCACGGAAGAGTTGCTAAATGAATTCAATGAAGGTAAATGGCTATATGGTGTTTAAAACAGTGCTACCTCAAGTTTCATGTACTTAAATAAGTCTCCCCCCCTTGGTGTAAGAGTGTTTTATTTCACTATTTGGGGGAATTGCCTCTTTTCATCTCTGTTAATGACCTTAGTAATAACTTTTAACTATATATACAAAGTTCAGGGAAATAACATTGGTTGAGATCCAGACTTTAAAAAATTTTTTCCAGGAAATCCTAGCAGTTAAGTACTAAAATTTATGAGCCTGTAAAAGTTAAGTTCTTTATTTTGGCTATACAATCTATTTAGAAAAAAACCCACATACATTGTGCTTCTGACTTTGGTGCAGTGGTTCACTGGCATATCAGTGATAAATGCAAAAGGCAGTAGCATTTTTAAAAAATTAATTAATTTTTTGAGAAGTTTTTTTTTTTTTTGCTATAGCCAGAAAGACAGAGAGACAGAAAGCGAGAAATCACCCCCCAAGGGGATGGCCATGTCGCAGGCCCTTCTCCATTCTCCTCTCGGGATCTTGGGCGCACATGCCCACGTGCCCGGCGTGAGTTTTAAGCCACCGGGGCCGGGACTTGAACCGCGGTCAACTACATGGGAGTTCAGCGACATAGCCATTACGCTAACTGCTGGTCCCTTTTAAATTTATTTTTAAAGAGCGATTTTAAAAAATCATTTTTATTTATCATTACTGTTATTTTTTAATTTGCTGTAACTTGCATGTATCCTCACTAGTGAGAGAGACACACAAAAAGAGGGAGAGAGAGAGACAGTCAAAAAAGAGTGAGAGAAAGGGAAAGTGATAAAGCAAGCCATCAGGTCTAGGAACTTGAACCGCTGTTGGCCATGTGAGTGTTCAGCTCCTTAACCACCATGCCACCTACTGGTCCCAAGAGTGTGATTTTTGCCATAGGGTATGTGTACTTAGTGGAGAGAAAAAGAAAGAAAAAGTGAGAAATCACCACCGGGAGGATGGCCACAGCATGATCCCTTCTCTATTCTCTTCCTGGGATTTTGGGCACATGCACACACACGCTGGGTGTGAATTTCAGCTGCTGGGCCTGGGACTTGAACCATGGTGGGGCCATGTGGGAGTTTAGCACCTTAACCACTATGCCATCCGCTGGCCCCAGTAGTGTTTTTAAAGTCTTAACAAGATGAGAGTTTTAATTTTTATGGATACTTGATAAGTCTTAATCTAACAGTTATTTAGGTATTTAGGATTTATCATCTTGTTTTTCACTATGGAACGATTATTTTTAACATTGCACAGAAACAAAATATAGAGAGTTGATAGAAGTACACCTTCTAATTTTTTTCTTTTTCTTTTTTTTTTTTTTTTTTTAAGGTTTTTGCTATGGGGCAGAGAGAGACAGTGAGAGGGAAAGTGAGAAATCACCCTGCAGGGGTGATGGCCATGCTGCAACCCCTTCTCTGTTCTCTTCCTGGGATTTTGGGCATGCACACATGCATGCACACACACCTGGCGTGATTTTCAAGCTTCCAGGTCTGGGACTTGAACCGTGGTCAGCCATGGGGTAGTCCAGTGCCATAACCATTATGCCAGGTGCTGGCCTCACAGCCCTCTAATTCTTGAGGGCATCTCTGCCTTTTCCCAAGAATTTTGTGGTTAGGCAGGATTTTTTTGCCCATTAGGAAAGTATAATCAGTGTGTACATTAATATGTGTACTAAGTGGGTATCTTGTATACTAAGTGGAGCTCTTGTGAGAATTGAAATTTATAATCTATACAGAAAATATTTTTAGTTCTCTGGCAGACTATGCCTTTGTTTTAAGGGTTATTTTTTCTGGTTGATTCATGTAGTACACATGCATTTTTGGTTAAGTGTCTTGAGACTCTATAGGTATTTACTTGTTTTTCCTTCCCAGGATCCTTTTTAGATTACATGTTTGTTTGTTTTGTTTTTAGGAGTAGGAGGAATTTCCAGGATGGAGGCCTAAGTAAATTATGTAGTATTAAGTATTTCATTAAATTTTGAACCTCAATTGTCAAATGTTAATGGGAAATGAACTACTTCAAGAGAGCATTTTACTGTTTATTCTTATTTATAGCCATACAATATATATCTTAGAGTTTGTTTTCTTTTTGGTTTTAAGTGACTAGGCAGGGAGAACACTTAATACATTTTTTTTCTGTGCTTTCAGTGGCTTGGACAGAGTATATAATGTAAAACTTGAAGTGTTTGAGGCTTGAAATGTGAGCTTGTGGCTTCATTAGTTTTAACTCTGGAAAACAAGAATTATATGTGATTTATTGTCTTTTACTTCATGCCATTAATTTTATTATCTTCCAGGTTTAATTTGTTTCCTTTAGAACTGTTGAGGCCTTGTATCAATGGACTTCCCTCTTCCTGAAGCTTGACAGTTTTAATAAATGCTCAGAGTTACATTGTGTAGGGCAAGTTCCTTTCCTGGTTTTTAAATACAGGTGTTCTCTTTTACCCCTGGAACTAGCAGACAAAAACTATTTGTCTGTCTTTGATAATGAGGAACAGACTTTAGCCTGGTATAGAGGGCTTAAAAATGTGTCTGTGTCTGAGAACTATTGAGGAAACTTTTTATGTTCAGTTCTAGAACTTAGTACAGAATTTAAATAAGTGAAATGTTACAACAGGAAATGTTAAAGAAATAATTACGTACAATTGAAAACAGTTTTTAAGGCATGAGTCTCTTAGAAAATGGTGTTTAGAGTTTGATAAGGAACAGTAATAGAATACACTTACATGGATCAGTGTCCCCAAGTCTTGTTATTAACTGCAATCCTTTCTGCTGTATTCTCCTCCTGGGATCTTGGGCATGTATGCACATGCACCTTGCATGAGTTTAAGCCACCGGGTCCAGGACTCAAACCGTGGTCGACCGCTTGGGAGTCCAGCAACATAGCCATTATGCCAACTGCTGGTTCCTAAACTTTTTTTTTTTCTTAAGAATTATTTTACTCAATTTCATTCATGATTACTTTTTATTTATTTATTTATTTATTTATTTATTTATTTAATAAGAGTGAAAAAGAGAAGGAAGGCAAGAAAGCAACCTGCCTGGTTCGTGACTCAAACCATGGTGGGCCATGTGGGAGTCCAGTGCCTTAACCACTATACCACCTGCCAGCCCTTTTTTTTTTTTTTTAAAGAGAGATTTTTGCTATAGGGCAGGGCATGTGCACTTGCTAGGAAGACAGACAGACAGACAGAAAGTGAGAAATCACCCCCTGGGGGGAATGGCCATGCTGTAGTCCCCTTCTCCTCCATTCTCCTCTTGGGATTGTGGGCATGCACACACATGTGCTTGGCGTGAGTTTTAAGCTGCTGGGTCTGGGACTCAAGCCATGTGAGGGTCCAGTGATGTAACCATTATGCTATCTGCTGGTATCCAGGAACTGACTTTTTTTTTAAGAATTATTTTATTTAACTTTATTATTATCATCATTATTTTTGAATTTGATGAATGAGAGAAAGAGGGAAATTGAGAATGTAAGCCACCAGGTCTAGGACTTGAACCACAGTCAGCCATTTGGGAGTCTGGCACCTCAAACCACCATGTCACCTGCCAACCCCATGAGCTTTCTTTCTTAACCACAGGGGCATGGGTCCAGTTCATATATATCATGCTACTGAGTTGTCATAAAAGTTATGACCTATTTTCTATGCAAAAATGCTTCATGACTTTTCTGACAACCCTGTCTTGTGCGAATCTTGTGTTGCAGTGGTCAAGGATTGTTAGTGGTCAGCCATGTGGGATCTGGCTTTCTTATTCATTAGGATATGGGTCTAGCCCATATATATCATGCTATTTAAAAGGCCTCTCCTGTGCTAGTACCATAGTACAGTGGTCAGACACTGTGCAGTTGGAGTCAGATCCTATTTACCAACTGTGGTTCAGATCCCAGCTCCACAGCTTGAAAAACATGCCTTGCTGGGACCAGCAGTTAGCATAATGGCCATGTTGCTGGACTCCCACATAGCCGACTGCGGTTTGAGTCCCGGACCCGGCAGCTTAAACTCACGCTGGGCGCATGTGTGTGTGTGCCCAAGATCCCGAGAGGAGAATGGAGGAGAAGGGATTGTGGCATGGCCATTCCCCCTGGGGGGTGATTTCTCTCTTTCTGTCTCTCTGTCTCTCTCTGTCTTTCTGGTGAGCGCACACGCCCTATAGCAAAAAAAAACTCTCCAAAAAGAGAAAAAAAAAAAATACCTTGCTTGTCATTTTTTTGTATGTCCAGGATCTTGGTGGTATGACAGAAAGGAAGAAAAACGATTGCAGCATGACTAGGTTCTGTGGAGTGGTGTTCTTTTTCTGATATGTACCTATGCCCTTTGGCATTAAGATACATAAATAAAACCTGTCCTATTTTGGAAAAAGATTTCTTGTTGTCAAGTTTTTTAAAAAAAGAATGATTTTACTTAACTTTATTTATTTAAAAAATTTACTTATTTTTTCATTTGACCAGAGAGAGAGAGCAAGAGAGAGGGAAAGTGAGAAAGCAGGCCACCAGGTCTGGGACTTGAACTGTGATTGGCCACGTGGAAGTTCAGTGTCCTTAACCACCATGCCACCTGCCAGCCCATCTTGTGATTAAATTTTTGTTGGAGAGGTTTTTCTATAAGGCGTGTGCACTCACCAGAAAGACAGAGACAGAGACAGAGAGAGAGAGAGAGACAGTCAGAAAGTGAGAAATTACCCCCTGGGGGGGATGACCACACCACAGTCCCCTTTAAGCCATCAGGTCTGGGACTCAACCGTGGTTGACTACATGGGAGTCCAGCAATGTAGCCATTATGCCATCTGCTGGTCCCGTGATTAATTTTTAGAAACTTAAAATTCTTTTTTCTTGCCAGAGGATGTGCGCTCTGGGGCCTGCCCTTAAGTGCTTTTATATATATATGGTTTTTATTCATTGAGTTGCTACAAATAAAGCACTCAAAACAGTGCCTGGCATTTATAGGAACTCAGCACATGATAACTACTTTCAACAAATTAGATGGTGAAGTAAGCTAATAGAGATGCAGCTTCGAATGGATGTAAAACAGGAAGTGGAGGACATGAGGATGAATAGAAGAGTCTCTTCTGCATTTGTATTTGGTCATGTCTGTTCCTTGTTCAAAGTATTATTGGATATGGACACTTATACTGTGTACACACAGCAGTATTGAAAAATCATTGAATGATATTCAGTCATAATTTAGAGTTTAGAATCTCATAGTTTTCTAAAGAGTTTGGAAGTATAGTGGTGGGCCAGGTGGGTGGCATGGTGGTTACAGTGGCTGGATCCCTTATGGACAACTGCATAGGTTGAATCCCAGATGCAGTGGCTTGAAAAACTTCCTGGGGCCTGTGTATGTTCATACCCAAAATCCTGAAAGAAGAAATGGAGAAGGGATTGCAGTGTGACCATCCATCGTGGGGAATACTTTTGCAGTATCCCTGTTCCCATCCTCTATCCTGTCCTTGGGAGCTCACATGTTCTCTGGCAAATTAAAGAAAAAGAAAGTATAGTGTTAATATAAATTCCCTTAACTGTGGGATTCAGTCCCTAATAAAAGTGTTTCTTTTTGTCTGACAGGATTTGAACTTGTTGAAGAGCTGCCAACACCTAAGTTCAGCTTTGGAGGCAGATCTGGAAACAGTGTAGCAGCATTGGTTTTCCAAAAAACGTGAGACTTTCCTTTGGACAAATTTAGGTAGCTTAAAGAAGCCACAGAACAAAGTAAACCTGACACAGAAAATGCAAATGCAAATAAACTCTTAGTAAGAACACAGGATGCACATGTTGAATAAATATAATGGGTTGCTAAAAGGAAAAAGAAGTACAAGTGGTTGGGTTTTAGAGCTCAATCAAGAATAATTTTTAATTCTTTTGTATTTGAAATGAAAATATTTTTCTTTTTGATTTAAACAAATTTCCTGTAGTTACTAATAGTTAAAAACGTTAAAATAGTAAACGATTTTATAGAAAGCATGTATTCTTGATTATTGTGCCTTAATGACTAGAATATAGTTATTTATGAAGATTTAACCAAACTATTCCGGGATAAGAATAACAACTACTTTCTTAGTGTTTCATTAGAGTATTTATGAAACATAATAAGAAATACTGTTTTGGGTTATTATAAAAATTATTCTATACCTGGGAAAAGCCCTGTGGCCTTCATGTGTATAATTAAACAAAATCAGAGGAATTTATCAGTTAACCAAGAAGTCTTTTATTTATTTATTTTTTTAGGTTTTTGACATAGGGCACGTGTACTCACCAGAGACAGACATACAGAGACAGTGAGACAGGAAGTAAAAAGTCCCCCTCCCCCTCCAGGAGATGCCACATCACAGTCCCTTCTGGGATTTTGGACATGCACACACATGTGCCTGGCGTGAATATTAAGTGACCAGGCCTGGAACTTGAACCGTGGTCGACTACGAAGTCCAGCGACTTAGCCATTATGCCATCTGCTGGTCTCCAAGATGTCTTTATTGAGCTGGTATTTTGAATCAGATGGTCTACTACATACTGTAAGGGATAAACAGTAGAAAGAAAGGGAGCTAAGGGATACTGTTATATGCCAGCCCTATGTTAAGTTATATTAAGTCATTGATCTTTCCAGTATTTTCTCTAGGCATGTATTACATGTTCTTGTTTCTGTAATACATGTAAGAAAACTGTAACTGGAAGACCTGAAGTTACTTCTACCAAGTCAAACAGCTAGGACAGAATGGAGCCAGGGTTTTTGTTTGTTTGTTTTTTTAAAGGCTGAGTCTTGTTACGTTGTGTGATCTTCCTGTCTCAACCTTTGGAGTAGAGGATTCTTATCTGGATCTGTCTGACTCTTAAAACCTTATTCTCTTGGGGACCAGCAGGTGGCATGGTAGTTAAGGCACAGGACACTCCCACATGGTCAACTGCGGTTCAAGTCCTGGACCTGGTGGCTTGTTTTCTCACTTTCTCTCTCTGGTCCAATTAAAAATGAATAAATAAATAAACTTAAATAAATATATTTAAAAAAAAAAAGCCTATTCTCTTCTCTTACCATATTCTGCCTCCTAGGTACTAAGTCTCTCCCTTCATAGCATTTACATTTCAAGAGAGGAACTAGTAAAACTCAGAGAAGTTGAGCAGTTATTTTTAGGATCTGTCTGACTCTTAAAACCTTATTCTCTTGGGGACCAGCAGGTGGCATGGTAGTTAAGGCACAGGACACTCCCACATGGTCAACTGCGGTTCAAGTCCTGGACCTGGTGGCTTGTTTTCTCACTTTCTCTCTCTGGTCCAATTAAAAATGAATAAATAAATAAACTTAAATAAATATATTTAAAAAAAAAAACCTATTCTCTTCTCTTACCATATTCTGCCTCCTAGGTACTAAGTCTCTCCCTTCATAGCATTTACATTTCAAGAGAGGAACTAGTAAAACTCAGAGAAGTTGAGCAGTTATTTTTAGAAGTCTTACAGCTCTTTATTGGTGTTGATCCTAATAACTTGTTAGTGTTGCTCTCTGGACTATTAGAATATGAATCAGCCAACTCAGTCTCACATCATCCTTTATTACTTATGGTCACCATTTCCCTATTTGACTTAAAGGACTTGCCTTTATCAAGAATTGAATTTTGTCATTCTTCTGTGAAGGGATGGTATAAATTAAATAAGATTTTGGGGATACAGAGACAGAGATGTTCTATAATAGGTGCCAGTTAAGGAAGATAAACTATTAATGTTAAAAAGGTAAGATATATTAATACTTAATGACACTTTGGAGTAATATTTTAATAGTGGATTAATAATATGGGTTTTGAAAAGTTACATAATTTTTTTTTCTTTTTTTGGAGAAATTTTTGCTATAGGGTGTGTGCGCTCGCCAGACAGACAGAGACAGACAGAGAGACAGAAAGCGAGAAATCACCCCCCAGGGGGGATGGCCACACCACAATCCCTTCTCCATTTTCCTCTTGGGATCTTGGGCACGCATGCACACGCGCCCGGTGTGAGTTTAAGACACCAGGTCTGGGACTCGAACCGCTGTCAACTATGTGGGAGTCCAGCGACATAGCCATTATGCTAACTGCTGGTCCCTAAGTTACATAAATTTTGAGATGGCCTAGTGGTTTCATTGCTGGACTCCCACATGGCCGATTGCGGTTTGGGTCCCAAACCCAGTGGCTTCAAACTCAGGCCCAGCATGTGTGCAGGCCTGCCCAAGATCCCAGGAGGAGAACAGAGGAGAAGGGATTGCGGTGTGGCCATCCTTCCTGGGGGGTGATTTCTTGCTGTCTGTCTCTCTGTCTCTCTGGTGAGTACACATGCCCTATAGCAAAAATCTCTCTCAAAAAGCAAAAAGTACGAAAAGTATAATTTTTGATGATTTTCATCTTTTTGAGTCTATTGGGTTACAAAATGCACCATATTGTTTATTTTGCAAATGTTGCTCCAGTATTGAGTAAGTTTAGCGTTACATCCACTTCTTTATTTTGTGAGAGGAAGGGGGGGCAAGTCTTTCATTTAGATCAGTATTAAACAATCATTAAGATTACTACTTGCCTTGGACAAGATAGCTGAAAGCATTTAAAGGAACTTCAATGAAAATAACACTTTTGGAAATGCATTTATTTTATGCATATAAAAAGTGAGAAATTACTTCATAATATATGCAACTTAAACTTAAGTTTTTTTGTTTTGTTTTTGCCAGGGTGCATGTGTGCTCACCAGGAAAAGAAAATCCCTTCTCCATATTCCCTCTTCTGGGATTTTGGGCATACATTCACAAGCACCTGGTATGTTTCTCAAGCCGCTGCGTCTGGGACTTAAACTGTTTAGTTGGCCATGTGAGATGCTGCCTTAACCCCCTTGCTACTGCCTAGCCCCAAATTGCTGTTTTGTTTCTTTATTTGTTTGTTTGTTTTTGTTTTTTAATAAGACATGGGATCTTAAAGTATTACATAAAAACATACAGTTTTATTTTTTTGTTTTTTGGAGAGTTTTTTTTTTTGCTATAGAGCGCATCCGCTCGCCAGAAAGACATAAAGAGACAGAGAGATAGAAAGCGAGAAATCACCCCCCAGGGGGGATGGCCATGCCACAATTTATTCTTCTCCATTCTCCTCTTGGGATCTTGGGCACTCATGCACACACGCCTGGCGTGAGTTTAAGCTGCCCGGTCCGGGACTTGAACCGTGGTCGACTTACATGGGAGTCCAGCAACATAGCCATTATGTTAACTGCTGGTCCCTAGTTTTTTATTTTTTGAGTTTTTTCTTTTTGCTATAGGGTGCGTGCGTTCACCAGAAAGAGAGACAGAAAGTGAGAAATCACACCCAGGAGGATGGCCACGCATGCACACATGACCGACATGAGTTAAAGCCACTGCATCCAGGACTTGAACCACAGTTGACCACATGGGAGTCCAGTGATGTAGCCATTACACCAACTTCTGGTCCCAGTTTTATAATTTATTGAGGGGATCCGGGCATTATTGTTTTTGTCACATCAGTATGACTTGGTTTCAAATACAATGATGGCAGTTTCAAAATTCTAAGAAGTTGTAAAGAGCCAGTAGATGGCGTAATGGTTACATTGCTGGACTCCCATGTAGTTGACTGCAGTTTGAGTCCTAGACCTGGTGGCTTGAAACTCATGCTGGGCGCGTATGTATGCATGCCCAAATTATCAAGAGAAGACTGGAGAAGAGATTGTGGCATGGCCTTTCCACCTGGAGGGTGATTTCTCACTTTTTATCTCTCTCTTGAGTGCACACGTCCTATAGCAAAAATTTCTCTTTAAAAAAAAAATTTTTTTTTTTTAGTTGTTAAACTGTATGATACCAGGTTGTTAGAAAAGTCATGACTTTTTTTTCTAGGCAAAAATGCATCTTGACTTTTCTGAGAACCCAATATTTTAAAGCACCAATTCAACAAGATCGGCTTTGTGAGCAACTAGACAGACATTAAGGTTGATTCATAGTGGGGCTGGCAGGTAGCATGGTGGTTAAGGGTGCTGCACTCCCACATAGCCCACTGAAGTTTGAGTCCCAGACCTGGCAGTTTGCTTTCTCACTTTTTCTCTCTCTGTTTCTCTTTCTCTCTCTCTCACTTTGTTCCTTTTTGGTCAAATGAAAATAAATAAAGTTAAATAAAATGATTCTTTAAGAAAAAGGTTGATTCCTAGGAAGCTTGGAATGGGTCTTTGTTGAAAAGCTCTTTGAGTCACTGTATGGGATATATTTGTTCTATTTGCAAATGTACAGATATTATATATTTATTTTGAATTGTAGAGCTGTTAGTACAGTTAGGAAAAGGGAGTTGTCATCTCTTTTTATCACTTTAATCCCTCTGGAAGCCAGCCCTTTGGGGGTTGAGATCAGAACAAACAGAGGGTCTAAAAATACTAACAAGAAATTAATATTTTCAAATAAGACAGAAGTATTAAAAACCAGGCCAATAAATGTCTCTAAGTTACTGAAACAAATTACGAATACATTATTATTAAACTTAGTATTGTTAAATTTATGAATATATGGTACTGCGTAGGAAATTATGCAGTTATAAAAAGGAGCAGTAAGTTATTATAGTGAAAGCTGTTTTCTGTGGATAAGAATTTGGAATTGTAATTTTATTTAATCAAAAGACACTTATTTTGAAGGAACTTGTTTGAAATGCAAACGAGATTTCT